ATTGTCAAAAGAGTTCACTCTAAGTCCAAGAAGACGAGATGATGATAGAGAGACGTTTTCTAATTTCGATCGTAGACTGTGCGGTGCGGAACGGGACAAGTGTGGGACGGGTAGATTAACCTTGCCATTGTAGTTCTTGTTGCTCTTTAAAATAGGTTTTGCAATATGTAGTTTTTAGACTCTTAACAACAATAAGAGTCATGATAGTTTGGATGTTCCTTGACCGGAAAATTTAAGTAAAGATGTACCAAAATTAGGCTAATGTAGTATTTGATATTTCATACAGGCCTAAACTATATACATTCAAGCATGCAACAAGAGACATAAATGGAGTGTAATTCCTCATATGTTCTTTATCAAAAACAATTATACTTGAGAGCAATAGAGATAAGAAAGAAATGTGAAAATTTCATTTTTCTACTGGTCTTATCTTTTTTGTTATTGTCAAAGGGAATATCCTAAAAATGAGCTTGATCAAAGGATTCACCAAAATACTCGGACATGTCCATTACACACGGATAAAGACTACTTCTCTCTTCTTTGTCTGATCCTCAAAGTCTCAAGTTCCAAATTCTACATCGCATTGATGAATCGGCCATGTTTGAGCCTTCTTCTTCTTCCTTAGGACAAAAAAGATGTTGCAGAGAGCAGCGAGCAATGCATATTCATGGTGGTGGGCCAGCCACATCCGTACAAAGCAATCCAAATGGCTCGAACACAATCTTCAAGGTACGTTCCATTTCTCCTGATTCACCCTCTCACCTAATAATGTCCTTAATATCAATGAAGTTGATTAAGCAGAGCATTATCTGGTGTTGTAGATATGGAAGAGAAGGTAGAATATACTCTTAAGATCATAGATGAAGATGGAGACACTTTTGCCAAAAGAGCTGAGATGTATTACCGTAAAAGGCCAGAGATTGTTAATTTCGTAGAGGACGCTTTTCGATCATACCGTGCATTAGCTGAACGCTATGATCATTTGTCTAGAGAGCTTCAAAGTGCTAACCGCACAATCGCCACAGCTTTCCCTGAACATGTTCAGTTTCCTTTG